TTTGGAGGCTGGTGGCGATGCAGAGGTTTAAATTTTCTGAAAATTAATAATTTTTTTTATAAATTTTGAATTAAACCTTTAAAAAATTTAAGAGTTACAATAATATATTTAAATCTAACATATTTTATTATTACTGATTTCATCAGGATATTCTAATGAGTTTTCTCTTGATGTTAACCTCGGAAGAGTATGAACCAAACCTTTATAGAATTAGGGGGTAAATATATTTAAATATAACGATTTTTTATTTGGTGGCTGGTGGCGATGCAGAAGTTTAAATATTCTGAAAATTATAAATTTTTTTATTAATTTCGATAATTTTGAATTAAATCTTTAAAAAATTTAGGAGTTACAATTTATATATTAATTCTAGCATATTTTATTATTATTGATTTCATCAGGATCATATTCTATCAATGAGTTTTCGCTTGATGTCGGAAGCGTATGAACCAAACCTCTATAAAATTAGGAGGTAAATATATTTAAATATATAATGATTTTTTATTTGGAGGCTGGTGGCGATGCAGAGGTTTAAATTTTCTGAAAATTATTAATTTTTTTTATAAATTTTGAATTAAACCTTTAAAAAATTTAAGTTACAATAATATATTTAATTCTAACATATTTTATTATTACTGATTTCATCAGGATATTCTAATGGGTTTTCTCTTGATGTTAACCTCGGAAGAGTATGAACCAAACCTTTATAGAATTAGGGGGTAAATATTTTTAAATATAAAATAATTATTTTTTATTTGGAGGCTGGTGGCGATGCGGAGATTTAAATTTTTGAAAATTATATAGCCCATAAGAATTTTAATTTTTTTTTTATAAATTTCGATATATTATTTTTTATATTGAGCCCTCTTAAATATTATAGTTTTTTACATACTATGTTTATTCTAGTAGTATTTTAAAATTTATAGAATATTAACTGTAATATTATTTATTCAAATTTGTTTAAATTAATATTAATATGAACGAATCGAATATACAAGTACTAAGTATAATTAATAAATATTATGCGAATAAAAAACACGGTTCGTAAAATTGCACTAGTAATCTTTTTATTTTCCCAAAAATTTAGGAGTGAACACAACTATCAAATCGATTGAAACAATATATGCAACTGTTCCAGTGAATAAGCTCAAAGATTATATAAAAAATTGTGAGGTATGCTCATTGAAGACGACGTTGCCGAAGGCCCCAACTGGTAAAGCTATAAAGTCAACGGCAGTATGGGGTCGAGTTGTAATGGATCTTATTGATTTTAGTAGCACTCCTGATGGAGAATTTAAATACATAATTCACTTTAAAGACCATTTTTCTAAATTTACATACGCAAAGCCTCTTATATCAAAACAAGGGGAACAAACAGTAAGGGTTATACGAAATTTGTTTTTTACTTTCGGTCCTCCAAAAATTTTACAAAGTGATAATGGACGAGAATTTAAAAGTAAATAAAATTATTGATTTGTCTAAAAAAATATTTGTAGATAAAATGGTTGAATCTATGTTAAAGGATGATTTTCCAGGGGTAATATTCGCACATTCGCGACCACGCCACCCAGAAACCAATGGTTTAATTGAGCGAGCAAATGGAACTTTAGAGTCGCGAATAAGCGGTTACATGTTGGAAACAAAAAAATATGATTGGGCGACTGCGCTCCCTAAAATTGTATTTAATATCAATCTAGGATTTTCTAGAACAATTAAAAATACCCCATTTAATGTATTTTTCGCTAGAACACCTTATTCGGTTGATAGCGAACCGGAAGTGATACCAGAAATAGTTAATGTGGATTCTGATCATGAATAAATGAGTAAAAATCTAATCGCCACCAGCCTCCAAATAAAAAATAATTATTTTATATTTAAAAATATTTACCCCCTAATTATATAAAGGTTTGGTTCATACTCTTCCGAGGTTAACATCAAGAGAAAAACCATTAGAATATCCTGATGAAATCATAATAAAATATGTTAGAATTAAATATATTATTGTAACTCTTAAATTTTTTAAAGGTTTAATTCAAAATTTATAAAAAAAATTAATAATTTTCAGAAAATTTAAACCTCTGCATCGCCACCAGCCTCCAAATAAAAAATCATTATATATTTAAATATATTTACCCCCTAATTTTATAAAGGTTTGGTTCATACTCTTCCGAGGTTAACATCAAGAGAAAACCCATTAGAATATCCTGATGAAATCATATAATAAAATATGTTAGAATTAAATATATTATTGTAACTTAAATTTTTTAAAGGTTTAATTCAAAATTTATAAAAAAAATTAATAATTTTCAGAAAATTTAAACCTCTGCATCGCCACCAGCCTCCAAATAAAAAATCATTATATATTTAAATATATTTACCTCCTAATTTTATAGAGGTTTGGTTCATACGCTTCCGACATCAAGCGAAAACTCATTGATAGAATATGATC